GTCCGCGGTGCTGACCGCCGCCGGCCATGGGCCCGCCGCCCGCGCTGCTCCTGCCGCTCCTCGCCGCGCTGCTCCGCGCCCCGGCACACGGTAAGCGCCGGCCGACACCCCGGCTCACCCCCGCCGCGCACACCGACCACCCCTCGGTACCGGGTGGCCTCAACCCGCCTCCGCCGCCRCCAAACTTTGCCAACTCGCGCTCGCCCCCCGGTGCGGCGGGGGCGCTCCCTGTTTTCCCCCGGTGAACCGAGAATCCCCCCCTCCCCGTTATCCGCCCCACCGCCACCCCCTCCGGGGACGCGCAGAGCGCTTTGCAGCCGGGCTGGTGCAACGCCGCCCCCGGCAGGCTCCGGCGGCAGCCCCTCCGCCGGTGTTACCGGCCGTGTTACCGGCGCGGGGGGGAACATTGCTGCACCGGGGGCTGGGCAGGCACGGCGGGACCCGCTGCCGCGGTCACCGAGCCCTTCGAGCCACCCTCGGGTTGGCTGTGCCGTGAGCCGGTCCCTCCGTGCGGTCCCCACGGCCGGGTGGAGGCACTGGGGGCGTTTGGTTCTTTCCCCCGCTCTTCGCGCTTGGGGTGACCCCTCCAGCTCCRCGGGGGACACGGGGGACACAGGGGTGGCGGGTGTTGGTCCTTGCCAAGGAGAGCAGCCAACACCCAGCTCGGCGCCTTGGCTCTGCCACCCATGGGGCACCGGGGGCAGCCTCGATGGCTCRTGGCTCCGCTGCCCCAAAAATAGGATTGGGGACCCTCCACGGCTTGGGCAGACCTGTCAGGGATGGGGGTGCCCCGGACCACTGTGGCCATGCACGGGGCGATGGGCGGGTCGCGGTGCAGCCCTGCCGGCCCCGGTGGGATGCGGGATGTGGGCACCGGCTGCAGGCAGCAGCCGTGCGGGGAGTTACATAAACTCCCCATCTGGCAGCGGAGCCCAGCCGGGGAAGGGCGCCGTGGCCCTGCGCCCGCTGCTATTCCCAGCTCGCTCTGCCGCCTGGGGCTGCTGCCACAGCCGTCTTTCTTGGGAAGGGGAGCGGATGGGGACGGCAAGGGGGGCAGTGCCACGGCATCCCCATCTCCTGCCCTGCTGGAGGGGGCAGCAAAGCTGGAATGGGGGATCCATGTCACTGGTTCTGTCCTGGGAGCCGGGCCCTGGGCAGGGCAGGTTTCCCCCAAGGGAGGCTGATGCTTACTGTGTCAGTTTAATGATTTCTAATGAGCAATTACCTCTAGTCAGTCCCCTAATTTCTGAATATCAATAAAGTTAATTAAACTCCGCATGTGCATTTCCCAGAKTCTTAAAAGTAGGGATGCCCTGGGAGGTGCTGGGCTTTTTCCAGGGCTGGGACCCATGGGGTCGTGTCCACCCTGTCCCCCCTCATCATGTTTTGGGAGCTGCCTGTGTGTTTTGTGCCCCAAATTCCCTGTCCTCCACCGGGCAGGGCTCCCGTGCAGCACCCCGGGTTCCATGCAGCACTGCCATGCTCAGTGTCACTGTGGCCTTGACTTGGCGTCAACGGGCTGGTGCATGATGGGGACGAGCCATGGGTCTGAAGGACATGGGGACARGGTGTCCTGGACCCCTCACCCAGGATGAGGAGCTTGGTGATGGCTTCTGAGTCGTGGCAATGCAGGGTCTGATGCTGTCTCTCTCCTGCCCCAGTTGTCGGGCACCACGAGCCCCGGTGACCACAGGGATTTGCCCCAGCAGAAAGTGGGGCCTGGACCGAGGAGCCCAGGTGCCAGGCAGAGCTCCATCAGCCCTGCCCCACTGCAAACCCTCTCCCCAGCTTTCCAAAGCCACCGCAGGCCCGGTATTTTTTGTGAGGCTCATCTTAGCCACGCTGAGGGGAGCTCCTTGTAATTTGGGGTTCTGACAACCTGGGGTATCTGGAAGCAGCGTGGGCTGTGGCAGGGGGCACAGAGCCAGGCTGTGCCCCTATCCAGCATCAGCCAGATGCCCTGTGCCCGTAGGGGTGATGGATTTGGGGGACACAGTGTCCCCGGGGATGTAGGCGCTGTCTGGGGTCTCAGKGTGAGGAGGGGGCTGGAGAAGGAGGCGGGTGCCTGCTCCGGTAATTAACAGCGCGTGTGCTCGTGCCCTGCGTGCCTCGGAGGAGTTCGTCACCGCCACGCTGCCGAGCCGCCAGGCCAGGATTATCTGGATAATGCTCTTAAAGCCAGGGAGCGGGAGGGCAGGGCTGTCCCGCAGGGATGTGGGGCTCAGGCTGAGCCAAGCGCCCCCGCCATCGCCCGGGAGCCTGATTGCCGCAGGGATCGGCCCTGGGTCTGCAGCGGCGGCGATGGATTGGGCACTGGGTGCTGTGCCGGGCAGGGAGAGCCAGGGAGAGCCAGAGCAGGGAGAATGTGGGGGGAAATGGGGTGCAAAAAGCTCGGGCAAGGGCACGGCAAGGGCACCCCAGGCCTGGCTTGGAGCAGAGGAGAAACCCCCCTGTTCTGCGCTGCTGGTGGGACCCCCGGGCTGGCACAGGGYTCCTGGGGCTGTCACTCCCCGTGTGCAGCCCCTGCTGGGGTGGGGACTGACGCTGACCCCGACTGTGGGGTCCCCAGGGAGCACCAACAGCCCCCGGGGGAGGCGGGTGAAGTTGACTCTCCAGCGGCTCTGACGGGAGAGGATAATTTCGCCTCCAATCAATTCTTTAAATGCGCACAATTGAAARATTGCCTCTGAAAGCTGCCTATAACCGGGGAGGTAATGGATTCCCTCCAGTCGCAGGCAGGAGCTCGGGAGTGGCAGCATCYCTCCCTCCTGCTGCCGGGGAGATGGGGAGAACTGGAGGACCAGCGCTGCTCGCACCACGAGCATCCTCGGGTGGGTGAAGGGGCTGCCTGGACCCCTCAGAGGCAGCTGGGGATGCTTCTCTCTGCCTGGCTCGCTGCCAGCCCGCCCTGTGGTGAGACCTGGCTCCGCTCATCGCATCCTCCGAGGTGCCAGGGGGTGCAGTTGGCCAAGGCTGGGGATCTGCTCGGCCCCCAGCCTGCGGGAGAAGCGGCAGCAGCCAGCCCGCACGCTCGCTGTGCCAGTAGGAATTATTACATATATAATTTAAATGCAGTAACGAGCTGTGCTGAAGGGATCAAATATTAATCAGCTGCAAGAGCGCTGCTCTGACCCTGCGAAAATGAARAGAGGTGCTTGAAATGCCAGATCAGACGGTGCTGGGCCATGAGCGAGGTGGTGCTCGGGGAGGGCAGGTTCTGGTGGTGCCCAGATGCCCCGGGAGGTGGCAGAAAGGAGGAATTTTGGCTGTAAGATCAGCCCTCAGTGGCTTCCAGATTTGGATGGTGTATCCTCTAGGAAAAGCGGTGCTGGGGCAGCGAGTGGGGTTGGCTGGAAGGTGCAGGGGGCAGCTGAGACGCCGGCTCTGGCAGGAGCGAGGGGGCAGCGAGGGGAGGGGATGGTGTCGGCAGGAAGGATGACATGGCTGAGCAGCCCAACGCAGAGCCCGACAAGCAGCTCTCGCTCGCCTCCCGCAACCGATTTCAATTACTGTCTCTGGCAGTGGGCGGAGGGAAGGGGAGATGGGAGCTGGGTGGGCAGCGGGGCCCTGCTMGCCCTGCCTGACTCCTGCCCACGCTGGACAGGCGCCCCCAGCACCCAGGGGTGCCCCGAGGGCTGGCTGTCCCTCTGCCACCCACGGGAGCCAGCTGCGCTGGGTCCTGGGGACACCAGAGCATGCACAGAGCCCCATGGGGGCCTGGCACCCGCACCGTGGACACTGGGGGGTGGCACAGAGCGGGTGCTGCCCAGCAGTGGGATATCCACCACAGGAAATCCTGRGGGAGGGGCTGGAGGGGCTGATTTGGGTGCTGCCAGCCCAGGGAGGGGGGACATGGCACCACACAGCGCTTGGGYCTGAAATAGCAGCAGACACACAATTTATCACCGCTGCTGCCACGCAGGGAAATTGCTGTAGAAACCCATTAGCTCCGCAGGGAGAACGGGGAAGGGGGATTGCACGGGCCGTGAGCGGCGAGGAGGGGACAAGGGCACCGGGAGGGAAGGGAGGAAAGCCCCGGGGATGGGCACCGAGCTGGGCTCTGCCCCCGTGCCCAGCCGGTGTCGGTGGAGCTCGGCGTGCTCGGTGTGTCAGGAGGCGCCCGGCCGCCGCGATGCTCCGGGGAGCCGGTTGCGGTGATGTGACATGTGTCAGCGGGTAAATGACTGTTCAATTCAAGGAGAATTGCAAAACATACAAGGTCAAACGCTTCCCCGCCAGCGCTGCCATGAATATTAACGCCGAGCTCCTCCGATAGCTGCCAGGGCTGGCGGCCACACTCACCAGCGGTGTCCCTGGGCACCAGGGCAGCCCCTCGGGTCCCTGCTCCTGCTGCTCTRACAGTCCCAGCTTGGCCGCGGGCATCCGGGGTCACTGGCAGTGCCACGGTGGAGGTGGCCACGGGGCAGCAGGACACAGATGCCAGCTGGCCCGTTGGCCAGCTGGGTCCCAGCGGTGTGTCTGCGTGGTGRCAGTGGTGGCAGCAGGTGGCAGAGGAGCTGCCCGTGCCCTCTGTGCGCTCCTGACTGTGCACACCCACCCGCCCCTGCCTGCACCCTGACAATGCCTGTGTGCCCACGCTGCCTGCCCCTGCCACCCACCTAACCCTACACACACCTCCTGCACCCACCTAACCCTGCACCCACCCAACCCTTCACCCACCCCCTGC